AGAAAGAAAGAAAGAAAGAAAGAAAGAAAGAAAGAAAGAAAGAAAGAAAGAAAGAAAGAATGAATTAATTCTGTATTGGACACATAAGGTGATTGGACACACAAGGAATTTGTTTTGATGCTAATGCTCTCAGTATACATGAAAGAAAAGATACATTCGTCAAGAGTCAAGAATCATCAGGTACAACACTTAATGACAGTCATAGGGTACAATAAGCAATCAAATCGTACTGGGAAACAGTCAATATAAATCATAAGGATACAAGTGACAAAGTTATAATCATACAGTCACAAGTTGGGGAGCTGGTGATAAGGAGTGATGAGAAGATTAATAGTAATGCAGACTTTGTAAATAGTTGGTCAGTGTTGACGGAATTATTTGTTTAGAGGAGTGATAGCGTTCGGAAAAAAAAAAACTGTCCTTGTGTCTAGTTCTGGTGTGCAGAACATTGTTCTGAGGGAAGGAGTTGAAACAGTTTATGTCCGGGATGTGAGGGGTCTGTAAATATTTTCACAGCCCTCTTTTTGACTCATGCAGTATACAGGTCCTCAATGGAAGGCAGGTTGGCAGTAATTGTTTTTTTCTGCAGTCCTAATTACTCTCTGGAGTCTGTGTCTGTCTTGTTGGGTTGCAGAACCAAGCCAGACAGTTACAGAGGTGCAGATGACAGACTAATGGTCATAGATAAAGGCTTCAAAAAATCCTTATTACAAGAATGGTATCTCCTTGAGAGAGGCTATTACAGGTAATCCTCAACTTACGTTCATTTACTGACCATTTCAAAGTTACAACAGCACTGGAAAAAAAGTACCTTTTTCATGCACTTAGGACCGTTGCAGCATCCTGAACAAAATTCATATTGGTTCATATTTATGACGGTGGCAGTATCCTGAATTCATGCGATCCCCTTTTGCAACCTTTTGACAAGCAAAGTCAATGGTGAAGCCAGATTCAGTTACCATATTACAACAATATTACTAACTTAATATTAATTAAGATTCACTTAACCGCTGTGGCAAAAAAGACCGTAAAATGTGACAAAATTCACTTAACAAATGTCTTGCTTACCAACATAAATTTTGGGCTCAATTGTGGTTGTAAGTTGAGGACCTCCTGTACTTTTCCTTACATTGGTGCTTAACCCTACATTCTTTTTTTGCTCTTCTGTTAGTGCAGGGGTCTCCAACCTTGGCAACTTTAAGCCTGGCGGATTTCAGCTCCCAGAATTCCCCAGCATGGCTTAAAGTTGCCAAGGTTGGAGACCCCTGTGTTAGTGTGTTATATTCAGTATACATTGATTTTCTCTGATTTAAAATCCAAGTGTACGGGTAATTTGCTTTTGTCATTGGAGAGTTGGGGTATGATACTTTCAGATGTTTTTAACTGTGTTTATAACTATTTCATTTCTATATATCCCATGAAATATATAGAAATGTATTGACATCTAGATTTCTTCAACACGTAATTAATAGTGTAATTTCCATTGATGTTCATCAGAATCAGCATTAAACTCAATTGTATCTGCAATATTGGAACCTCCCTACTTTAAAATGGAACTTATATCGCTTGGGGAAACTGTATCCATATATAACGGACAGCTTCTTCCATTTTCTTGCAGAACAATTATCCTTCGATTTATATCCTTTTTCTTTCTTGGTTAATAATTCCCTTTTAAATGTCTGTGAAGTAGAAATATATCTTCTTTCCACTGCCAACAGTTGAGATGGTAGCACTGTTTTTAATAGCAAACTCTTTCACTTGTGCAGATTTGAGATAGAATTGTCTGTAGCGCTCCTTTCAAATGTGAAATCTGAATTTCAAGTGTAGCATTGTAAATTTTTTAGGCTTCCCTCACATCAGATTTTGCAATATGTCGCGTATATTGGAAGAGTTCCGGCAATGCAGAAAAGGATGAATATATTCAGCAAGCCCTACAGAGAAAAGCATCATATATTAGGTACTAGTATGGCCTATCTATGGTCAAGAAAACTTCCCTTAAAGAATTGGCTGATTTTGGCCTGTAGAATGTGGTGGTGGGGGGATACTTATATAGAAAAATACAGTGGCCCTCCTTCACATTTTGACACCCAGAATTAACAGAATAATGGCCTACAGGTCGTTCTCACTTTACAACTATTCATTTAGTGACTGTTGGAAGTTACAATGGCACTGAAAAAAGTGACCTGTGACTGTTTTTCACACTTGTTTGACCATTTCAACATCCCCATTATTGGTCATGTGATCAAAATTTGGTTGCTTGGCAACTCTCCTGTATATATTGCACTGTCCTGGGGTGGGGATGGGGGGGGCAGGGAGGTCATGCAATCACCATTTGTAACCTCCCCAGCTGGCTTCTGACAAGCGAAGTCAGTGGAGAAAGCCAGATTCACTTAATGACCACATGATTCACTTAACAATTGAAGCAATTTGCTTAACAACTCTGGCAAAAAAAGGTAATAAAAAGGGGGGAAACTCATTTACCCACTGCCTAGCTTAGTGACAGAAACTTTAGGCTTAATTGTGGGTATAAGTCGAGGATTATGTGTATTTATAACTTAAACCTATTCCCTCCATCTTTAAAAGAGAAGCTTGCAGAAAATACTTTTAGGTTGCCTTCATACATAATAATGTAGATGTTAAAAAAAAAATTTCTTTCTAGACATCTTCTGGTATCCTATCGTATCCGGGTAAATGTTCCTTCAATAACATTTGTTAGGGACAGAGAAGAGGAGGCTATAAGAGAGGTAAGAAATTTCCTATATGTCTGTGTTTTTAGGGTAATTTAACTGAAGTTCTTTCCTTTAAAATTGTAGAAAGAGTCACAACCTTAAGATAGCTAAAACTTACTATTTAAATATATACAGTTTACATTTATATTAAATGTTTACAGTATATGTATAATATGTATGTAAAGTACACTTTGTAAAGGTAGAATAACATAATTAGGAGGAAAAAGCTGTCTGCACAAGAGACCACCAAGTTTGTTAAAGAACCACAGGGCTCATTCTGATTACTATCTGGTGCTGAGTTACAAACAGTTGCAGCAAGACCAGCTACTGCAACAGTCATACATTGCTTCACAGACACCCAGTGAGACTTGCTGTGACCTACGTTAAGGTACCTGTTGGAGAATAGCAATAGCATTTAGACTTATATAATAGTGCTTTATAGCACAATGTAGAAGCATTATTTGCATATTGCCCCCAACAATCTGGGTCCTCATTTTACCGATCTTGGAAAGATGGAAGGCTAAATCAAGCATGAGCCCCATCAGAATCGAACTCCAGGCTGTGGGCAGAGTTTGTCTGCAACACTGCACTTTAAGCAGTTTTATTTGTGGAGCAAAGTGGAGGAAGCACTTGCACGAGGAATACGACCATAATCTCCAAAACCTAACTCCCACCTCCCAAGGCTCAAGATCTCATTATCTGGAGTTTTGTAATCCTTTGGGTTTATGCTGGAACAGAACTCATGTGAATGAGAGCTACTTATATATTTGGCTACAGTAAAATCTTAAGCAACCCCCTCAAAGATTCCTTTTTTAATAGTAATTTTATTAAAGATTATAATACATTTTTAAATGTAGGAGAATAAAGAGACCAGGTGCAGAAAAGAAACAAAAAAGGAAAAGGAGAAAAGTAAGAACATAGTTTTTTTTAAAAAGAAAACTAATATATAAAGAAATGACATAGTATAATCACAAGGATAATTTTTTTAGTACTTTATCACCTTCTCTTAAAATATAACAAATGATCTCTTCTTTCCATAAAGCCTCCGATAACACTTTGTCATTTAGTCCTGGTGTCAATAAAAGTCCATTAAGGATTATTAGAGATGACAACACATCTATTTTAACCTAGATCAAATACACCAACTTTATGTTCCTTTAACTTCAAACAATCGTAATCTTTAATCCTTTCTAGGCTAGAACTTGATTTCTTTTCATTATTTTTTCTTGGTCCCTTCTCATGAGATTCTTCAAAACTCTAACAAACCTTCCTCTTTTGTAAACCCAATAAAGGAAAATTATCCTCTTGGTTTGTTATTTGTATATCCCTTGTAACTGTTAATACATCAGCCTATTTCTTTTGTATGTCCAGAGTAGCATCTTTTTCCATATCTTTCTTGTAGCCTGGCATTTATAAATCCAGTTTCAACTTAGTCTCAGCCTTGTCAGATGTAGTCAAAGGTAGATGTTTCTGCTGATGCTATTAAAATTAACTTCTGAGTCTGTTCTTCAAAAATATCCTTCAATATGTTCAAAATTTAAAATATTTTGCTTTATTTTGTAACTAAGTCATTTAGGTGTCCCTTCATTATAATATTTAGCACCCTCTAATGTTCAGTTTTTTTAAAACCTTGTTTTTAAAAAAAATAAAAGAAAGAATTTTCCCACTATGAGGATTCTTTATGATAAATTCCAAAAGCTACCCTTAGTCCATTTGAATTTTCTAAAATTACAGTTTTAATCATCTTTTTGCTGTTTATCCTCCTTGTTTAAGTTCTTCAACTTGCAGTTCAATTTTTTCATTAAGGATTGAGGGAAACTCATCTGTTGTTATCAATATAATAGAATTTTTTATTGGCCAAGTGTGGTTGGACACACAAGGAATTTGTCTTGGTGCAAATGCTCTCAGTATACATAAAAGAAAAGATACATTCGTCAAGAATCATAAGGTACAACACTTAATGATAGTCATAGGGTATAAACCTGTCAATCCAAAGGTTTCTACTTTTAAAAAAAAATTAAAACAAAAGAGTTTTCCCATGGGAAGGATTTGTTATAATTAATTCCAAAGAGGACTTAGTCCATTTGTGACTTCCCAAAATCAAAGTTTTAATCATCTTTTTGCTGTTTATTCTGCTCCCCCCCTTTTAAAAAGTTATTCAACCTATAGTTAAAAAAAATCTTTTGTTAAAGATAGAAGGAAACATCTGGTGCTATCAAACTTGTTATCAAACTTATCATTCCCAAAGGTTTCTAATAGCTGAAAAGCAGAAATTTCTGAAAGTGTGTCGGACACTAATTGAAATTAGGTCCAAAATGAATACAAATTTATTTCATGTTACTTCTAAACAAGTATCAAGGCAAATTGATAATAGATAAGAATCAATGGAATTCAAGGAGGGTTGGGCTTAGATCTCTTGTGAGCGTGAAGGGATTCTAAATTGATGATGTGCTTAAGCCTTCTCTTGGGCCCTGCCTGGTCATCTCCTACAAAATGATTACAAAGGAAAGTATGCAAATATAGCATCTTTAAAGTACCAACTGTAGTTGAGGTCTCATTTCCCAAAGCTCTAAGCATGCTGAAGATTGCTGTTTTCTGTTCTCTTTGAGAAGAGCAGAAGTCTGGAGCATTTGTTGGTGATCTCAAGCCTTCCCCTTGTCCGGAAAGGAATTATCGAAGAGCCATTCTACTCACTGGCTCTTCATTCTGCCACAATCATCTTCAATTCACCATTTCTTCCTCTGGAGGTCCTACAACTTTCCCAAAGGCTTTTAATACTTTAATTATTTCCATAAAATGATACAGATTTCATCTCTTTGTGCCTTGAAAAAAATTAGATGGACCACAAGAAAAGTTTTTCAAAATAAGTGGAAGTCTTCCTTTTAACATTGTGTCATGCTTGAAGCCAACACACAAAATGTATGGAATTTAGAATTTATTCTTTATATTCTGATTGTGAACAGAACAGTCTTATTTCTGGACAATTTCAGTGTTTTCTTTCCTTTTACATTGGTACAGGTTGAGAAATTATTGGCAATTGCTGACATGGGGCCTGAAGAAGAAGAAAATGAATTAATTGAGAATGATTTCAGGTAAATTAGTCGAGCAAGTGCATTCCTGAGGTAGTGAAAAATACTTAACGACCGCAATTGAGCCAAAAATTTATCTTGTTAAGTGAGAAATTTGTTTTGTCCCACTTTATGACTTTTCTTGCCACATTTGTTAAGTGAATCACTGTAGTGGTTAAATTATTTGACATAGCTGTTAAGTGAATCTGGTTTCCCCATTCACTTTGCTTGTCAGAAGGTTGCAAATGACTCCAGAACACTGCAACCGTCATGAGTCAGTTGTCAAGCATCCAAATATAAATCACCTGTCTATGGGGATGCTGCAACAGTCATAAGTGTGAAAAATGGTCATGAGTCACTTTTTTCAGTGCTGTTGTAAGTTTGAATGGTCACTAAATGAACCATTGTAAATCGAGGAGTACCTGTATCTATTAAAATGCCTTTTACTAGAAGACTATAGAAATGTCCAGTTGTGCAGTTGAACGGCTGATTATATAGCACAGTTTTTCTATTGTTATCCCCTCTTTTAACTACAGGGATGACTTAAAAACTCTGGGAGGGTAAGGGACACTTCCCCAAGTGGTACAAATTGCAGGGGATCCGGAAAAATCAGGATTATATGCAAACATCAGATATCTTAGGCCTGTATGTGTCATTGTTTACTCCATTTCCTGCAGTGAGGAAAGATCCATCATGGCTGATACCCATGCAGAGCAATCCACCCACACCAATCTATTTGGAATTGATCATAAAGCATTAAACAAGCAAATAATGGATTACAAAAAAATGAAAAAGAAGGAGGTGCTGGAAGGGACTTCAGTCCTAGAGACACAGTTGGCTGAGATACGGCAAAAGAAAATGAAGAGGAAGAAAGCTAGGAAAGTTTACAATGACGACCTTAATCCTGAGGAATATTTGATGGAGAGATACAGCAAAGATTATTGGGACAATGAAGTTTCATCTTCAGAGAATGAGGAGCTGGAGTACAAGCCAAAGGAAGATGGTAATGAATTGGGAAAAGAAAAGTAGAACGCTCAACTTTAAATGAATTTTATAAAACTATGGGTCACTTTGAACTACCCCATTACAAAAGATTCAATCATTGCCTTGCTGAATGGTGAAAGTTTCCCTCATTTCTCTTCTCCTTTATGATTCATTTCCCCTTTTTCTTATTTATAGAACCATAGTTTGTTGTTATATCCCACTCTGACAGCCTATGATTAGTTTTATTAAAATTGACTTGTTAACCTGCTTTACTCTTGTGGAATCTTTTGAGTTAGATGAACTCTGAAAAAGTAGATAGGCCTTGACCTACAGCCACAATGTAGCCTAAAATTTCCATTGCCAAGCAAGACACTTAAATGAGTTGTGCCCCACTTTTTTCATATTTTTTTTCCCCACGGTTAAGCGAATCATGCAGTTGATAAGCAAATTTGGTTTCTACATTGACATTGTTATTGGAAGCCAGCTTGGAAGGTTACAAATGGTGATCACATGACTCCAGGAAACTACAACTATCATAAATATATGCCAGTTTCCAAGCAACTGAATTTTGATCGTGTGACCGTGGTGATGTAGGTGTGAAAAACAGGCATAAATCCCATTTTTGGCACTTTGAACGGTCACTAAATGAATTGTAACTAACTGTAAATCAACAACTAATCTTGTTTTAATGTGTAGTCTGACTTGCTAATTGTAAAGACAAGGTAGACAAGGCGGATCATAATATGTCATTTCATTGTCAATGTTGTCTGCCTCCTGAAAGCCTTGTTATGAGTTTTCATACATTAGAATTAGTCTTGTGCTCAAGAGCTAATGATTAGCCTAGCGTAGTGATGGTGAACCTCTTCATTGTAGTGTGCCGAAAGCACACGTGCTGGCACCCACCATGCAATGTGCCCCACCCCCTGCGCATATGCGTGCAACACCCCCGCCCCCTTACCTGCACTGTGCGTGCGCACACCTCCCAGCTGATTTTTGGCCTGTTTGAGGCTGTATTCGCCCTCCCGGAGGCTTGAGGGAAGCCTTTGTAGCCTTGGGAGGTTGAAAAACGGGCCTGTTTTGGCACATCCAGGATTTCCAGAAGGCCCATTTTTCAACCTCCTGAGGCTGCAGAGGCTTCCCTTGAGCCTCTGGGAGGGCGAAAATGACCTTCCCCGAGCTCCAGAGGCCCTTTGAAGGCTGAAAATGGGCACTTCCGGTATTTCCAGAAGGTCCATTTTTTTTGGCCTCCCGAGGCTGCAGAGGCTTCCCTCGAGCCTCGGAGTGTGTGTGAAAACGGCCTCAAACGGGCTGAAAATCAGCTGGGTGGTGCACACATGCGCAGTGCAGGTAAGTTTGGCTGGGGTTTGCATGCCCGCAGAAATGGCTCTGCGTGCCACCTGTGCCATAGGTTCGCCATCACAGGCCTAGCACCTTCTGAGTATTCCACAGCAGCGGGAATTGCTCAAGGATCCTCATCTACCAGTATATGCAATAATGTTGGATATTATTTTAGCATCAAATGGATAGTTCATTTCAGTGGCAGCACCTGACATCTTGTGTGCGCTGCATGTGTCCGTGTGTTGCAGATTTTAGGCTAAGCAGTGTCAGGGTAGATGTTGGGTAGATGATCACTAAGGAATGCTTGGACTTCAGGTTAGACAATTTTGTATAGTGGTTAAAAGACACCAAGCTAGAAACGGGGAGACTGTGAGTACCAGTCCCACCTTATCTGGCTAATCTTCGATTAATCAATCTCTCAGCCCTCGGAAGAAGACAAGGGCAAGCTGCTTTTAGAAAATGGTACCAAAACCCCCACAATGGCTGATTCCTAGCTATCATATCACAAATCGTACAGGAGCCCTGGTGGTTAGAAGGCAGTATTGCAGGCTAATTCCACTCGCTGCCAGGAGTTCGATTCTCAGCGGCTCAAGATTGACTCAAATTTCCATCCTTCCAAGGTTGGTAAAATGAGGACCCAGATCATTGGGGCAATATGGTGACTCTGTAAACCGCTTAGAGAGAGCTGTAAAGCACTATGAAACAGTATATAAGTCTAAGGGCTAGTGCTATTAGGAGTCCAGATTGATTTGAAGGTACCCACAAACAACTTTTTAAAAAAATGACAAGGACAAACAACCTCCATCATAATGTCCAGAATGCTGTAGGGCTTCATTCATACAGATACTAAGAGTTGAACTTAAAACTTGAAGATGTCTTTGGCTTTTGACCAATACATGTTTGAGTGGTTTTCCAATTGGCAAAATTGTATAAGATAGCAAACCATCCATCTTCCACAGTGGTCCTGCAAGATTCTTTTGCCCAGTGAGATTCCAGAAGGAAAGTTCTAGCAAACGATGTCCACCATTCTCCCAGATGTAAACCAGATGCTACGTAAGAAATAGCAAACCTTATTTATTCTTGCATTATTTCTAAAAGAGTGATGACAAAACATTTTTGATCTCAGGGATGCTGCAATGGTCATAAATGTGAGTAATGGTCATAAGTGCCCTTTTTCAGTGCTGTTGTAGCTTCGATAGGTCACTAAATAAATGGCTGCACACCACCTGTCTAGTACTCAAGTTACTACCTAGAGAAAACGAGATGCAATATACAGTATAATCATAAATAAGGATACACTCACTAGGTAGCATTTCTGCAGCTTGCAGGGATTATATTAGCAGCAGTGATCAAGCATCAGCATTATTCTGAATCTCGGTTTTCTGACCTTTAGTATAACTGCATCCAAAAATGCCGCCTTCTCCAATTTAATTTACTCCCAAAGTGGCACTAATATTTTAACCTTTTTTAAAAAAAAATCTGCAAACTAAGAGATTCCATTTCACATGCTCGCCTGAATTCAGCGGGTCTTAGAGATTATACAACCGATACTTCATTTACTACTGCAGCAGCCATTCCGGCCGAACCCGAAATCAGCCCAGAAATCCAACGGAAGCGTCCCGCCTCCGAAGCCTCTTTCATTTAATAGCTGGCGGTCAAGGCCGCCATTGGATGAAGCAGGAGTGACGCGTCCGATTTCCGCCGCTCGCCCGGGACGCCACCTGCTGGCAGCCGAGCGTTAACGCTACCGCCCCAGCCTTTTCATGGGCGAAGAGGGGCTGCGGGAAGAAAGTTTTGTCTGCGCGACTTTGCGGCGCTCGATTTTTCAGAGTTCACCTTCCCTTGTGAGTTGCATCTCCTAACGTGACTTCGTTGCGTATCTTACTCATCCCAGCCACAAACAGTGGCGGCGGGACCGTTCCGATCCCGTGTGCTTTTTTGTCAGAAATGGTGCAGGGTCTCCTGCTTGGGCGGTGTGGGTGGGTGGGTTGGACTAGATGACCCACAAGATCCCTTCCAACTCGAATCTAATCTTAATCCTGCCTTGCTTTTGCGTGTTCCAATTTCGGAAAGGTCCCTTTGCGCTTCCCAGCCGAGCCGGTACAGTCGGTGGCTGAATCTTTCCCCCTCAAATCCAAGAGAAGCTGTTCCCTTTCTTCCACAGGGTGCTGGGGATAAAGGAGGATAAAAGCCGATCGCAGCCCCGGAGGCTTCGGGGTCAACCACGGGTCCTTGTCCGAGCGAGTTTGGCGGTGCCTGGAGTGGATTGGCGTGCAAACGGCGGCGGCGTGGGTGCAAGCTTGTTAAGAGTATGTGTGGCTTTCCACAAAACAGCAACCCCAAACAAGGACAATTAACTGCCGTGATACGAAAAGGTTTAAAGCAGGCTTTTTTTAAAAAAAAAAAACTGGGTCACTAAAGATGGGTAAACTTCAACTTGCAGAATTCACACATGTTAATAGCGGCCAGGTTTGAGAAACGCTGCTTCCAACTATCTTGTGTGGAGATTCTCAAATCATGCGGGTCGTGGTTATCCAAAAAGATGCTTTTTTCCCAAAAAAAACTTAAAAAAAAGACATCTGGACTTTCCCGGTTTGACTTTTCCCTTTGAAAACGTTCTAGCGAAACGTTTTCATGAGGGAAAAGAATCGTCTGATGGCCTTTTGGGAAAAGGCGCCTTTGGGAGACGCTGCTTTGGACCGACGTTCTCCAAACCTTGCAATAAGGTTTCTAACTAGGCGCCCAAGGAGTTTGGTTGCCTCCAGCAGTTGCAAACCATCCTCCCCATCCCGCTTCCGCCTGCTCCGGGGGAAGCGACCCCCGCCGAAAGAGCGGGTGGGCGATTCGGGGTGCAGTCCGTTGCTTCCACAACCACAGGCATGGCCTCCCCTGTCCCCGGCATTCATAGAATAGAGAACGCGGCTCTAGGAAATACAATCGCTAACACGCAAGTTCAGGGTTCGTGTGTATTTTCAGGATTAGCGGGAAAGCGCCTGTTCTTTGGAGGTAGCGTGGGGCACTTGAGACTCAAGCTACAGACCCCCTCAAGAAACGTGTAGATTATGCGGTTTGTTTTCTTTTTCATTATTTACTCCGATCTGACCAATTATGTTCACTGGGAATTATTTGCCAGGTTTGTAGCGGGATTCGCACGGTGCACCCAAGGCAAGTTCGCTAAACCAACCCGTTCTTGCCGTTCATGCAACACGCTCAGCCTTCTTGTGGGTCGTGTGAATCCAGTGGATCTGCACAGCTTCTTCACAGTTCGGTGCCGGTTTTTAGTATGAAATCGTACTGGGTTAAACGAGATTTACTCGTACCTAGGAAATCTGCCAGCGCTGCAGTAGTAAACATGCATAGTATTGGAATTTACTTTCGACTAAATAATTACAACAATTACAATTCCTTATGATGAAATTGGTCTAGCTGCAGACAGGATTTTGAACAATCCTTTCCTTTCACATTTAGATGTTATAATGGAAGAGTTTATATATTAACTGTTGTAATTCTAGGTTGTGATCTGGTTACAAGTATTTTAATACAGGAGACTTTATTTATTGTTTATAAAAAACGGATTACACATATGCAGCAAATATTGACGACCTGCAGTACAATTAAATTTTATCAATACAATCAAAGATCAGCAATAACAAAGAGAATAAAACAAGAAATGAAAGATTAATAAAACATCCAACCTTATCACTTATTTACTAATTATAGCTGCATTTTCACTGCAGTTACACGCTAACATTCAAGTAGATAAAAAGCGGGCAGCTTTTGTGCAGAAGTTAATCCAGTAGACTACAGAAAATTCGCTTTGGATTGAAATTTGGAGAAATGTCTTTATCATTAAGGATACTGTGACAGTAGATCCTGTTAGTTGGAGATGGCAGGCTTGACCTAACCGTAAGTCTTCTGAAAAAGTCTCAACAACTATCTTGGAAGATGTTTGATTTCCAAACTCTCTATGTGAAGATTTAGCCTACCTGCAAAGATCAGCAACAGAACAGAACCGGGGAATCCAATATGTCATAAAATACCACCTGTTGTACTCTCCCCAAATTAAAATTAAATATGATTGAGATTTGAGAACACTGACACATTTTACAAGATTACAGGAATCTAGCCCATAATTTCAGGAGAAAATTTCAGCTACATTGAAAAAAAAATGAGAGTAAAGGACTATCTGGGAATTGAAAATATTGTTCACGTCTCACAGTGGCCATAAATTATTGTTTACACATTGCAATGTTCTGCTCATGTATTAAGCAAAAGTAAACTGGACATACTGATTTACCTAGACAATTTATACGCTGCCAGTTTAACATTTCTGGGTCATTAAATCATAATGTAACAAATGCCATTTAAAAAAGTAAGGAAAGTAAGCATGAAAAATTAAAACAAATATTGAATATTCAAATACTCAAAGCCCTGGATGAAAATGTATACATGCGTTTAGGCTCTTAGAGAAGAGAATTCACGAACCAAGACCCTTATTTTATGACTATGGGCTTCTTACTAATGCAGAATTAAATCAATAATTTTTTTAAGTTCCTGGTTTGAAACATAATATAAAATCAACATAAAAGAGTAAGTTAGAAGAGTTGGTGTATAATTTAAGTACATATACTGTATGACGTGAGTAATTCAAATTTTGTAGAGTTGTATATGCTCTTTCATTTAATTTCAGTATGATTGAAAGATATTTTAGTACATTTATACCAGCAGACCTGGTTCTACCAAAGGTGAGGTTGCAATTACCTTGCTTGCTTTTCAGCTGGTGTTTCCACTTTAGTAATAAAGAATGTCCTTTTTTTTCTCTCTTTGCAGGTCTGCAAAATGGCAGAAAGACCTATGTGGGAACAAATTGGAACAAGTTTTGTACAGCTGTATTATCAACAGTTTGATACCAATAGGGAACAATTAGGTGCCCTTTATGTATGTATCTCTTTACTCAAACAATGATTATCCTGTTGATGCAATTAATGGATTATTGGCTTGACGGGGCTGTTGTTTCTACTAAAGCAGCAAAAGTTGTAGTTTAGGGGTGTCAAATTCGCATTGTAATGTGATGTGTTGCAACTTTCCCTCCCCTTTGCTAAACCAGGCATGGGTGTGGCCAGTGTGTAACGCATCCGAATTTGACAGTCCTGTTGTATTTCGAAGGTCTAATTATGAGCCATGGTGGTGCAGTGGTTAGAGTGCACTACTTCTGCTGACTTCTGCCTGCCAGATGTCTGCAATTTAGCAGTTCAAATCTCACCAGGCTCAAGGTTGACTCCGCCTTCCTTCTTTCCAAGGTCGATAAAATGAGGACCCAGATTGTTGGGGGCAATAGGCTGATTCTGCAAACCACTGTAAAGCGGTATATAAGTCCAAGTGCTATTGCTATTTCTCAGGAAGAGTTTGAAATTACAGTAAATAACCTCTCCCAAAGATTTTGCACCCAGTTTAGAAATTATGAAGGCCAGTCTCTCCCCTTGCAGTCATGACCATATTTTGGGCATTGGGCAGGGCGCCCACATTTACAGCTAGTTGCAGTATCCTGTAGTCAAGTGACCATGATTTACAATGTTTTTGCCGAAAACCTGTGTTTATTTCCATTGCTTGGCAAAAATGCCCCATAGCTTAACAATTAACCATAAAAAAGGTTGTATAATTGCCAAGTCACGTGAATAACTTACTTTATGATCATCATGAGTTATGACCATAATGGGCAGGCTCTATTAGGATCATAAGTTGAGGGCTTTCTGTAGCTGCTTCACTTTCTTTTGCTTCATGTTGGCCAGAGTAGAAGTTTGGAAGCTTGTTCTCAGTAGGCAGTTTGGCCTTTGTGTTTATATAACTCATGTTTTTTTTGGATTGGTATGGCTGGTGAGCTCTTCTTAGTAGGTGCTCTGGGAGTTTTTGGGTTGAAATCCAACTCCTTTTTATGGCTTTCGGTCCATGTCCGTTATATTAGCATCTCTTTTGCTGCTACACTATCTTTGCTCCCATTAACCTTGTGAGTGTGCAAAATGGAGATTAAATCTAGCAACCAGAATGGACAGTCTTTTTATTTTCTGGAGTGGGATGTATAGGCTAAACTTTTAAGAAATTTCTGTCAAGTGCTCAATGAAGGAATTGAAGATATCAATGGCAAAATATTGGATATTGGTACATAATGTTTCTGTTTTCTTTTTTGGTGTCTCCAGCTTCTCCTTTTCTTCCTTCTCTTGACTGATGCTGATAAGAATAATTTGTATTTATCATTCCGAGGTCTAATACGTATAAAATATTGCAATGTCTTGGGAGTGTGTGAGGATAGTTCATTGAGGAATTCTTGCCTGAGGCTAGATCATTTATTTGTATATTTTCTTTCCTTTGATAATTTCAATATGCATGTTTACTAAAACATGTCCCTGTTTCATAGACAGATGCTTCTTGTTTGTCTTGGGAAGGTCAGCAGTTCCAAGGAAAAGCTTCAATTATGGAAAAATTGATGGTATGTTATTTATCTGCTAAAATACATAATTGATTAATGTTATCTGTAACATTTCATGCAGCGATTTTAAATAATTATTTGGAAAATGCTTTCTTTTTGGGAAGGCCAGATAAGAGTTCTTATGGATTCCCTTGTTTTCTATGGTTATGTGGTATCTTCTTAGGAATTTAATTTTTTTTATAACAGACACTTCCTTTCCAAAAAATTCAGCATAATATAACATCCCAGGATCATCAGCCAGCTCCTGACAATTGTATCCTTAGTATGGTTGTTGGCCAATTGAAGGTGAGATTTGTTATTGTTTTATCTTTGGTTAAGATCTGTTCAAAGTTTCTAAGACATAACATAAAAGCCAGAATATTAAGGCATCCCAAGTGCATTTAAACTGTTTGTATAGTATTTTTCTCGAAGTATGTTAGTTGCAATATAATGCACATGCTAGCTTTATCAAAATATGACACCAGATGCAGAACAATCTTATCAAAAACATTAAATCCTTTTTGATGTATTTCTGTTGAATTCGGTGAGCTTCAAAAATGCATGCATTTGGCTTGCTATTTTATCTGTCATATTTAAATTACTGTGTAGAATTTATTTATGTGTTAAACCGCTAACATTAAGCTTGTATTCTCTCATGGTAGGTGGACAATGATCCAGTAATGGGATTCCACCAGATGTTTGTTCTCAAAAACATGAATGACAAATGGATTTGTTCTAATGACATATTTAGGTTGGCTCTGTATAATTTTGCCTGAAATTTCTGCTCTTGTTTTACACTTACAAATATCATAATAATGTTGGTTCTAAGTGTTAAGTTATTTTCTTTCTGTAACTGCAACTGAAAAGCATTTATCTTCTATTAATTGAAATCATTTAAAATAGTTGCAGTATTACACATCCTTTACTGTAAAACATTTAATATTTTATATGAAAATAGTTTGTCTATTTTAATTATATGAAGTTTGTGGAGACAACACAGTGTATCAGTGCATACACTTTTCTTATACAAACAACAGTTTGGCAATAAAATAATTTGCATCGGGCTTTAGTGAACAAAAATAATTGTTATGTATAAATACCTTTTTTTCACATGATTCAAATTTAATAATATTTTCATGTTATTTCTTAATAATGTGATATTTACTCAGTGTGATGGACTGGCAATTGAAAAATGATGGGAGACGCAGGGAAGACGTCTGAGCAACTGCCAGCTGTCTCCATTTCTGATCTAACACCAAATATTGAGCTGGAGTTAGAATCATATTAAATAGAGCTCTCCAGTCAGCTGGAATCATTTTATTTCCATAGCCAACTGCTTCTAACAATGCCTGAGTGTATGGCGATCTAATACCATACTCTTTTGCTGCTTGCTTAACTTCCTTTAAAATCTTAAGAGGCAGAGGCTTCCATATTCTCTGTGGATTTAAAGCAGCATCTACACCAATTTCTACTGGATTAAGTTGAATCTCCACTCCAAAATCTACCAAATCATCTCCTGATAATTCCCCTCTATTTGTTGCTTCTTGAATAGCTGCAGTAACTGCATCTACTTGAACTCTTAAAGGCAAACTCTTCTCTTCTGACAAAGTATTTTCAGTGCCTGACAGCCCTCTGGATTTATCTGGAGGTGCTGTCGGTGGCAATATACGTACCGCATTGTAAGGCGGCAAACCTTCTTCGGGGGGTGATAGGAGCGGTTGTTCATGCGTAGCTAATGCATCCATAACCACCCTCCAGGTTAACAAAATTGAAGAAGGGGCACGAGGCTCCTCGTGCAAAAATTTCCCTATCTTTCTCCAGCGCTCTACTTTAATACTACCTCCCTCTGGATAACACGGAATATGTTTCCAAACATACTGTAATAAGTCCTCAATTTCTTTCTTTCCTACTTCATGTCCTCTACTATGAACTCCAAACTTAAAACTATTCCCAGCGATCTCTCTCATTTCCCTAAGGTGCTTTGTCTGAGCTTTCGAGAGACCTTCCCCCATACTCACGAAAAGAATCTGTCTCCGTCCAGCGAAGAAGATGAGGGCCCAGTCGACGTCCGCGACGATGAGTATAGGATGCGGGAAACGTATAGCTTTCAAGCTATCACGCCAAAACGTATAGCCTTCCAAACTATCACGTCGGGGTCACCACTTGTGATGGACTGGCAATTGAAAAATGATGGGAGACGCAGGGAAGACGTCTGAGCAACTGCCAGCCCCGAGAGCCCTCGGGTAGCAGTATTTATTAAGAAAATGCAAATACAAAATCAAAACAATGACTTCAACATTAGCTCAGCAACATTATCTAGCTAGGCCTCAGCGAAGGTGATAAAGTTCCCGTGAGAAAGCAGGGCACCAAAGGTCTCATGGGAATGGCTCGGCTAGGTACTGTGAACTCCCACACAGATTCCTGGTCTCTGAGCTTTGCAGATAACAGGATCAAACTCTCATCATAAAGACACTACTGCCCTCATGAGGAGCGTTTGTGATACCCCCAGATCTTACAAAGCTGTACAAGAACTTGCAGAATATGATGGATATATTACCACACTCAGAAAAAGTAATCCTCATTTGTTGCAAATGTTCTGTAGCCGTGTATATATAGATGTTAATATACATGTTAATTCATGTAAGGGTGTCAGTGAAGTAACAGAGCACACAAATGAAAACTGAAGCTGACTAAACTGATAACTGAAAATCACCATAAGAAAAACAAATACAATCAGTGGGTCTGATACAATAGAATAAATAGAAATATTACAAGAGTCAACTCTAGTGCCAAGATGAAAACTTCCCATCCACAATATAAATTTAGTTTAAAGACCATGCGGTAGTTATTCTTTCAAAATGGTAGCAAAGAACTCATGTGATTTCTGCTGCATCCATCTTCTTTTAACTGTATCTTTGCAATACTTCGTTTTTGAACAAAAATCCCTACTATAACATAGAAGAAGAAAAAACACCCACCCTTAAATTTACCCCATTCTGTTTTCACCTTATAAAAAACAATGTTGACTGCAGTTTCTAAAGTAAAATGCCTTCTCTTAGGAAATAAAATAACTTCGATCATAAGAATATAAACCTGCAGTTTTCAATTTGTAGTGATTCTGTTGCACATTGTACCTTGTTTTCTGGTCAGTGAGATGTTTGAAGTAGGTTCTTACTCAGGTTTAGTTTCCTTTGAAAAGAGTTGCTGAAGATTAACTGGAATTTTATTATTTAGATTTATTGACAGAGGTGCAGTGTTTTCCACCTAAATATTGTAACTGAACGCCAATCCATATCTCTGAAATTGGATTTAAAAGGAGCCATGTAGCAATCCAAAATGCTTGCAGTGCTTAAAACAGCCTTCTGCTCCATTGCAATCTCTACCTTGGATATTGGCATTATTTATTCTTTGCTTGAAAAAAGCATAAAGGCGGCTTTTTAAATGTTTTTTTGTTTTCAGGTCTGTTGACTTGAAGGCATCAAAATAAATAATTTTTCTTCATTTACCATGACATATTTTTTTTCTCATAAATGATGTGAATCCATGATTTCAAGGAAAGATACAGATTCCAAGAAAAAGACATGCAGTTTACCTTGATTTCTATTATATAATCAGCCAATGAAATAGGGCAATTCCAGAATTATTCTGCAAGATGAAAGCTAGAGATCTTTTTGATAGGGAAAATAGCATCTTATAAGTATAGGGACATACCTAAAACACTTCATGGATTGAGAATAGAGCATTGTTAATTTCAGTAGGTGTTCCTCTTGACCCTTATGTATATCCTGGCCACCTCCACATTTAGAAACTGTATGAAGTGCCAGCGTCAATGTATTTCTATATCTGCTGCTATGTGGGATGCTGATTGGCCCATATCCTTCATCTTACAATATTGCTCTGCATTTAGAGCCATTTTTAGACTGGCCACATGCATGGACTGGAAGAAAGGGTGAGGACGCTCTCCACAATGGTGAATGATGCATTGTGTTAGAACAGAGGTCTCCAAACTTGGCAACTTTAAGACTTCTGGAATTCAACTCCCAGAATTCTCCAGCTAGGTATGCTGGCTGGTGAATTCTGGGAGTTGAAGTCCACAAGTCTTAAAGTTGCCAAGTTTGGGGACCCCTATGTTAGAAGATTACAGCTTGAATATTTGACTGTCCTATGGACTGTTCTCCCAAGAGAACTTTGTCGCCTGTGCTATTTGTAGATAAATAGATAGCTATGCAGGTCTTGGCGTGTTCGGGTCTTTTCCCATGTAACATTGAGAGTATCTTGGTGGCGTTTTGACGAGGTCCCACTCACCATCTTCAGGCTGGTACTTTCGACTTCATGCTTGTGCGAGCAAAGTGTGATCGGAGCTGCCGTCTGTATAAATACTGGTGGACAGGTTGGCTGTGTTGTCATTTCTTGATTTGTTGATGGAGTTGATGTTTGCAGATTGGCTGGCTTTTTCATAAGAACATGTGTGGCTGAGGTATTGGCTATGTGTCTATCAGCCTCCTGTGTTGTAACGACCTGGGTAATGGGCTGTGTAATGACCTTCTGAGTTCTATTGTTGTGACATCCTGGGTCTTGTGCTGTAATCTCCTGGGTCCTTGGCTGTTGGCACAAGACCCAGGATGTCACAACAGTAGAACTCAGAAGTTCATCACACAGCCCATTACCCAACACAGGAGGCTGATAGACACACAGCCAATACCTCAGCCACACATGTTCTTACGAAAAAGCCAGCCAACCTGCAAACATCAACTCCATCAACAAATCAAGAAATGACAACACAGCCAACCTCCCCACCAGTATTTATAGAGAGACGGCAGCTCCGATCATGCTTTGCTCACACAAGCACTTAGCCGAAAGCATCAGCCTGAAGATGGCGAGTGGGACCTCGTTGAAACATCGCCAAGATACTCTCAATGTTACACAGGAAAAGACCTGAACACGCCAAGACCTGCATACCTGTACCCATGAAAATCTATGAAAACAAATAGATGGCTATATATCTTTGTCTCAAAAACAAGTTAAACTGAAGCTATAGGTTGTCTTTCTTTGAATGACTTCAGCACATTATTCTTGATTGGTGAGGCTTCAGTACAGAGATGTCCCCAAAGGAAAAAAATAATTGAATCTTTTGGTTTAATAATGAAAAGTGTAAAGGTAAAGGTTCCCCTCGCACATACATGCTAGTTGTTTCCGGCTCTAGGGGGCAGTGCTCATCTCTGTTACAAAGTTGAAGAGCCAGCACTGTCCAAAGATGTCTCCGTGGTCATGTGGCCAGCATGACTAAACACCGAAGGCGCACGGAATGCTGTTACCTTCCCACCAAAGTGGTCCCTATTTTTCTACTTGCATTTTTACATGCTTTCAAACTGCTAGGTGGGCAGAAGCTGGGACAAGTAACGGGAGCTCACTCCATTATGTGATGCTAGGGATTTGAACCGCCGAACTGCTGACCTTTCTGATCAACAAGCTCAGCGTCTTAGCCGCTGAGCCACCGCGTCCAAACTACCAAAGTGTTGATAGGGGTTAGCACACCAAAGAAACTTCAATATACTTGGGGAAAAAATATCCATATACTTTGATTTGAAACTTGTCAAGCATTTTTCAAAAGCCAAACAATTCTAAGTACTGTAACTTAATCCATCTCATCATTCAACTCTTCCTATTTTTGTCAACTGTAACTGAAGGAGATATTAATTATGTGCTTTGACTCTTTTCTTTCATTGAACTTAATGCTTCATTGAACTTAATGCCCTTAATGCTGGCCTCTGTGGTCATATAACAATTAGGTAACTTTGGAAAAGTTGGAAAGTAGTTATTAGAAAGGAGGTCTGGCTATATCATACTCAAACCAGCTGTGATCAACCACAGCCCTACAGAAGTACAACTGTTGACTTTGAAGCACGCTTGGACAGATGAGCAGACAACTGTCTCTTTAGTGGTACCAGCAGTTCATTCAGTGATGATCCCTTCTTTATAAACTTTATTGCTTTCTGCAGGGGCCAATTTTGACTCTGTCGAATACTGTCTTTGATTTATTTCTTAGTGGTTCTCACTATCTATT